TGAGTAAAACTTGAATTTTATTTCAATACTCTATCAGATTATCTAACTTATGACACCTTCCATCAGCTTATTTGATGCTAACCTTCAGGAGAGCAAATTATTGCACCTTCTTGCTTTTATGTTTTCCACTAACATGAAGTGGAGTGATTATATTGAATCAATTGTTAGGTCTGCTGCTAGGAAAGTTGGTCCACCGTGTTGTGCTAGACAATTTTTCTCACCAGAATCCATCTAGCACATTTATAAATCTACCATTAATCTGTGCATTGAATATTGCTGCCATATCTAGTCTAGTGGTCCTGCTATATATCTTGAGTTTCTTGACAAAAAAAAGGGTCTGTAATGTTATTGATCCTGACTTGACATCTCAACTTCAGTGACTTTCCCACTAATGTAACATGGTTTCCCTCTGTTTGTTCTATAAATATTTTCATGGCTTTGGTATTCTGAATACTCATCCAACTCCTCTGTAACATATTTACTTTTACTAATTTTCTGTTTACTTACTATTAATAACATCCCTTGGTTGTCCCTCTCCTGATGTAAAATGTAACCATTCAATTAGTTCATTAAAACATTCTAAAGATCTCATGTCTTCCTGTCATCACTGACAATTGTTCTAATAAGCTCTTCTCCTTGGTAATGCATGATTTTAAGCATACTACCAGATTGGCAATTAGGTCTCATTATTTTGCTGTTGAAAAAGCTAGATGTAACTGTAAGTTCTATTCTAATAGTTTCTCTTCTGTGGAATTCTATTCCAGTTTTTTGTTTCTCTACCACCTATGATTTTCAAAAATTTAAATACAACATCAATCACCGTCATTTGATTTCCTGAATCCTGTTCTTTCTCCTCACTAAAGTTTTCTCACTCTCAGTAACCCCTTGTGTTGTAGTGGTTTTATTGCCTTGCTTGGGGTGAAATAATTAAAAAAAAATAGCTAAAAAGCAAAAGCAAAATTTTCTGAATTTGGCCTTTGATAACAATTTATCAAGCTGATAATTTGGTTTAATTTAAATCTAAAAGCACATTGTAATGACAAAAGATGAAACCTAAACAAAGTATAAAGAAATAGGAAAATTTTGTTAGAAATTAAGAAAAGAGTACTGAATAGCTATGTAATATCATCATTAGATCAGCCACAGTTGGACCTCCATAACAGTCTTCTCTATACATTACGGTCTTCCATTGTGGTTTGCAGTTGTTCCTTTAATAAGTTGCTACTTCAATCAATTGGTCATTGAAATTACATGTTAGATTCATTTAGTTAGTTCATTTCTCATGTGTAGATTAGACTTTGTGAATGATTTTATTCTTGCTTCTCCAACAATGTCCACAGAATTTTATTTCAGAAACAGTAGTTGTTTCAGTAGTTGTCAGCTTTTGCAAGTCACCATAGATCATTTCGTTAGTCATATGTTGCTGCCAATTGACATTTTCACTAGTCACCTGGGTATACACTCTATCAAGTTTCTTGTTCAATGCCTTCATCAGTCCATATACTGGAGCTATACTGTTTCCACTGCTGCTCTGAAGGATGTAACTTTGATTTCCATATTGTTTCCATCTTTTGCAATGCTATCCAAGCCTTTTTTGATTTTGACATCTATATCCTTGCTAGAAAAATTGATCTAAGAGCCAAGATACAGAAAGTTATTTACTTGCTTGAGGATATTGACCACAACATTGACTAGGTTGGCTTTCTCTTAATTGTACAGCATGTACACAGTTTTGATCTGATTGATGTACAGTCAAATTTGCTTGGCAGTTTTTTACTTGATTCTGAAGCAGCTATACTTGCTCCAATGTATTGGATAGTTATGTGATATTATTTGCAAAGTCTGCATCACATATGTCACTATCTAGCTGTCATTTACTTTTGGCTTTACTCTTCTTAAAACACATTTTTCTTCATCCTTTATGGTATGTCGTAAAGCATAATCTAGACCAATTTTGAACTCGCATGGGACTAGAGTAGCTCCCTGTAGAACATCTGCCAGTATCTCAAAGAAATTAGTAATGTAATTGGTAATGCAATATCAATTCTCCTAAATGTCAGTGAATGCTGGACAATTTCCTCACAAATAAAAAAAAAGACTTGAGGTAACAAAAATATGTTTCTATAGAAGGCTGTTGAGAATAACATGTGAGCAATGAGAAAATTTTAAGGAAAATGGAAGCAAAAAGTCACTTGTACTTAGAATCAAAAAGAGAGAGTTGGGAAAGAAATGAGGAAAGGAAGCTTAGAGAATTTGACACCTGAAGTACATTTTAGGCAAGATGGGTAGAGGGAAAGAGCGAGTAACTTACCTAACAATATTGTGTAAATGGATGGCAAAATGGACTGGAATGGATAGTAAGGAGACAAATATTACTTAGAACTACAAAGAATAAGAAGTAGAGAATTATGATGACACAGCACAGATTATAAGAAGATTGTAGGACTTGGTTCTGGTGTTTGAGATTTAAACTTTATAGTTATTCATTTTATTGTTGCATGAAAACCTTTAGGAAAGAGTAGAAAAAGATATTATGTAACTTATGAAATATTCATGAAACAAGCAGTGAGAAAAATATAAATTAACCAAAAGTTTTGAATCTTATACTTTTTATGAAAATTTTAAATTTCTAATAAGCCCGATTTAATCACATTTCTATATTATTTTTATCACATCTACTAAGGATAAAGGAACATTTTCAGTGTTTAACTTTAAATATTTATATAGTAAACTAATTTTTTAAATTTTGTATCACAGCCTAAATTCTACTGACATTTGTGTTGCATATCTATTCTGTATTTTTATTTTTATGACTCTTCTAAGTTAACCATTTGACCAAAATCATTTATTTCAGAAAAAGTTGCTTGTTTTTGCTTATAATAAGAATCATTTTAGATTCTTATTGTCTAAGAAATCTTACAAAATGATTAAAGTGTAATGAGTAACAGAAGTAGAAACATGACTTAAAAATGAAATGCAAGTAATTAGTCAAAGAGGTTATATATAAATGGAATTATAGTGCTTTCCAAAGATAAGTATTAGACAAAAATTAATATAAGAATGACCACCATAAACCAAGGTCTAGAAAACAAACCTTCAAGCATATATCTGTATATAATCAATAATATAAAATGGAAGCATATTAAGAGTATTCATATTTTATAGTAAGTACTTAATACATATATGAATTATAAGATGGGTATCCAAATAATTGGGGATTGATTACTACCTACCTCAACATTTACATTATCCATATTGAATTTAATTAGAAATATATACAAAAAAAACACTGCATACACATTAGATTAATTAATTTGATACATTTTTCATGCAATGAAACTAGCAAAAAATACTAGAGTAAATTATCTCTTAATTGTATAGACTTTTTCTATGAATATAGTTTTCTTTGTTCAAGTTCTATATATATATATATATATATATAAATAAATAAATTTTATAAGCATAATATATTCACTAGTATGTATATTTGATATACCAAGTTTTTATGTAGATTTGATCTAATTTGATGACAGTATAGAAATAAACTAAAATGAAATATCCATAATAGTCTTTATTAAATCATCTATTCCATTTTGATTAGGCAAGTTCAATAGTATGGTTTACTGGCAAAGAATATATTGTGTATTGACATTAAAATATTTCTTCATTTATCTTTGTTATCTTTAGAATGATCCTGTTCAAATAGTTGGCTGTTTTTCAAAGATTTTAGTATCAGTCAAACATGAAAAGAAGCTGGACTTATCAATCTGTATCCAGTAGGGAAAAACAGAAGTCAAAAATTGATTATTGATTTTGAAATCCTATTTTTAAACTTTTCTAATTTTTCTTTTAGTTTCTTTCCATATAACTTTATATTAGTTTTTCTGTCTCACATAAAATATTAAGATGAATGTGCTTAATGTTCTCAGCTTACTTTAATATGATTTATGAGGAATAAGTGTTTCTTTCTTTTGGCCAAGACAACCCTAAGATTAGTCCTACTTCACCAGTAATAGATTTATAACTGCAGTTACTTCTAGCTAGCTGCCTGTTTAGGACCAAAATGTTAATTAATTTTGTTTGTTCACTTATTGAAATAAAGACAAAAACTGTAAGAACTTAGCTTCCATTAAGAAAAAAAAATGAAGATAATGAGGACCTTATGGTCTATATGACTGTGTTGTGCTGAAATAGAGCCAAAATCCTAATTGGGTTAGGTGTTTCTGAACATTTAGAGCTTGATGAGAAAGGACTCCTCCTATCTTACTTTACCAATCACCTTCAAACTCTAAATGGCAACTTCTTTTTCTGGTCTTGTTACTTCAGTTCAATTGCTGGCAACTTATCTCCTGTGCAGGATGCTATTGATTGATTTGTACTCAAAGAAGTTTAGACATTGAATTGTCAAGCAGGTTGTGATCATTCACATAGCTTACATATATGTGTGTGGTGTGTGTGTATGGGGGTGGGGCGTTAGAGACAGGCTTGTTAATTTTGTATAACTTTTAGAAGAGTCATTGACATATCCAATATTATTCAGACACTCGACAATGAAAATATAAAGAAATTTGATAATCTCATTAATGTTGGATAAGTTTGTTAATATTTAAAAATATGCGAAAACAGCAACAACAAGAAGAAACTTTTTTATATGCATGAGTATAAGGATCTTTAGTTTTTTTTTTTCAATATCCAACTAGCAATTAATATCATTTTCTTTTAAACTCTTTTTTTTATTCTTTATACTCTATTCTGTTATTTACTTTCAATTGTCTTTACAGTGCATTTGATATTTAGCAAAATATGCTGGAACAATGTTTTACCCAGCAAATTCGAGCACAAATATGCATCATTCCAGAAAATTAAAATTCCAACACATGCAGTTATCCACAAGAAAGCTTTCTAAATCTCCAGCAAGTATTAAATGTGAAATAATATGGCGAATACAGCTGGGAAAAAAGTGAGTCATATATAAATTAAATGAAAAAGTAGTTTCTTACCAATGCATGTATAGTTATCTTCTGATAATAGAAATCCAGGTCCATGGCATTCACACATATGTCCACCATCTATATTAATGCATATTTGTTGACAGCCTCCATTATCCGTAACACATTCATTAATATCTGAAATAGCAGTTTCTTGATATTTAAGCATACTGAATTAAACAAAGATCATAAAAAATACATGCTATTATTTTAGTTTTAGTTTGAACTGAAAGTTAAATAAGTTGTTCTTTAGTAATAGATGTTGGAAAATCCAAAAATGTTAATAGTCATTGTGCACTATGTATCTGTAAGTAAACCTATTACTAAATAGTGAATTTTCAATAAAAGCAATAGCTTGAAGAGTATGCAACTTCAGAAATGTTAGCCAAAAAAGAAAAAAAGATAAATAAAATATTTTACATTTAGATTGCTTCAGCTATTAAACCTGTTGATTTGAATTTTGCAAAAATTTCACTTTCCCAATTGCAGGTAAATTAATATTGACCTTAATTTTTGTTTACTCAGCTAAAGATTGTAACTGTCAAAAATATCTTCAATATAATGAGGTGTGTTATTACACTGTTTCTAATAATGATGACTGATTTGAATAAATTTTTATTGTAAGAATTTCTAACAAGAGTAAAACACACTTGATTGTATGTGAAATACATAATCAAGTAAAGTACCAAGATCATATTAAAATTTATTTAATCACCATATAAAAATGAATGGATCTTTATTTTTAATTTGCACATTAAAGCTTTTGTACTTTGGACTGAAGTATAGATACAATTCTGCTTCAACTGAAATCTCCATTTAATTTTGCTTCTGTTAATGAATTTTACTATTTTAAAAATCTTGTTTATTGTAATTTAGAATAATGTATTATAGCAAAAGCCATTAATTGGTCAATCTTTAAAAAGCCACTGACTTAAAATGAATTGTGATAGAAGCATCTATTAAAAAAAAAAACAATTATAGAAACATTGAAAATTGGAAAATCTTCAGTAGAGGAACATTTTTTTTTTTTTTGATGCAATAAAGTTTTAAATATATTTTTTATTTTTTATTGATAAATAAGATAAGAATTATTGTTCCTTTATTGTCTTTATTTTGATATTGAAATTTTAAGACATTCGACATGTATTTGTATATTTATGGAATATATTGCAAAGGGAAAAGTGTGTAATAAAAGTTTGCTCTTTTATTTTAATGAGAATTATTGTTATTAATGAAGAGATGAGTCTGGATAAAGGAACTCATTTGTCACAAAATCTTTTTTTTTCTTTCTTTGAATTGTTTTGTTGCCATGATACATTCTGGAAAATAATTTGAAGTTAGAAGAAAATAATTCATTTTTATGCCTATTGCATCATGAGTTTAAATTAATTTTTACATGAATTTACATAACATTTGAGATAGTAAATTTTCTTAGCAATTATAATTCACTGTCCTGTCTCTTGAATCAAAACTTATTAAATGATAAAAATAGTAAAGGTTAACTAATTTGAGAAAATATCTACCTGAGCAGTCTTTGCCATTGTCTTGGAGTACAAAACCATTTGGGCAGGTACAAAATGCACTTCCTGGGATGTTGACACAGCCATAAACACAGCCCATTGTTTGGTTAAGTGGTGCATTGCATTCATTTATATCTGAGCAGTGAGCATGAAAACAAGAAGCAGGTTATAGAGTGCAACACATGAACTTAGTGTCATATGATAGAAATTGAGGATAAACAGTAAGATTCAAACACATGACAACATATCTGAAAATCATTTAGTTGAAGGAATTGAGGTATTAGAGCATTGCAAAGATTTATGAATCTAGCTGTATGATTTGATAATTGCTATTTAGTTTCATGCAAGATTTTAAGATAAAGCAGTGCATGTATTTGGTTTTAGAAGAGCTAAATAATTTTTTATGCTTTCATTTTAAATTAAAAAAAATAATTTGACTCTAGTAAATGACTTATTGTAAGTTTATTGATTTGGCATTGCAGCAGAGGTTATTCAGTTAATTTCACAATGTCTTACCATGTCTCTCCTGATTGAAATTGTTTGGAAAATTAATTTTGACCACTAGCTTAACTATTGAAACCAGATACAAGTATTTAATCTATAGGTTTGGTTGAAAATAGCTGGTAGTAGATTTTTCCATAATTAACCTGACTTGATTGAAAAATATGCTTATTGTTTTTATTTTAGATATTCTTCACTTAAAGTTGAGAATTTCTTTGTATTTGAAGTATTTGAATATTTTTTATCAAATCAGTTCTTTATTTCATGCATAAATGAACTCAAGTCTGTCCTTAACAAAGGATGGTTTGTTAATTTTAATGCCTCTAAAACTAAACTTCTCTCCATTAAACATCTGAGAGATCTCTCTCTGCCTTTCATCAGCATGGCTAATGCTAACCTCCAGAGATTTGTTGCACCTTCTCAGGCTAACGTTCTCAGCTGACATAATGTTGAATCCATTGCTAGGTCAGCTACTTAGAAAGTCTGTTCACTGTGTCGTGTGAGACAATATTTATCTCTAGAATTATCTTGCATATCTATAAGTTACCATTCATCCATGCTTAGAATATTGCTGCCACATATGATCTGGTGCCCCTGCTATTTACCTTGATCTCCTTGATAAGATCCAAAGAAGAATCAGCAATATTATTGGTCCTGATCTGGCATCTCGGCTTCAGTTACTTTCCTACAGCTATAAGGTTGCCTCTCTGTGTCTTTTCTATAAATACTTTAATAGTAATTTGCTTCAGTATCTAGACTTATTGAATTTAAATGCAGTACTAGACTAGCATTGAGATCTCATCAATTTACAATTGAGCTGGCTAGATATAGTCATAAATTCTATGCTAACAGTTTCTTTTCTCACACTTCTTGCTTGTGGAATTCCCTTTCAGCTCCCTGCTTTTCAGCCAACTTTAATCTAGAAAAAATTAAATGCAATGTCAATCACTGTCCACTATCCTCCTGATTACTCTTTCCACTTCCTGCTCATTATTAATGTTTCTGTTCGTAATTCTTCCACACCCTGTTACTCCATGTGTTTTAGTGGCTTTACTGCCTTGCATGGGGTAATACTGATTTTTTAAAAAATACATATGAATGCATTTGTAATAAAACATAACTGCAAAGAAATTTATTTACTATAAGGAATTCTCATTCTTAATAATGATGTCACTTTCCTTCTTGACTGTAAATAAAACATGCTTCCCATTTTTTTTTGGGGAATATTTCTATATTAACAAGAAAAGCATAACTTCATAAGTGCATGTAAATGCATAGATAATAAATAATGTAAATTTTTGTGTCTGAGATAATTTCATATGTTGATATTTGTAATTTCTTTATGCAAAAGAATTCTGTGAGGATGTAGGGAAAATACATCCTACTGAATACATTTTACATCTTTACAAAAGGCAACATTTTTATGAAAATAAAATATTTGGAATTAAAGATTATTTTCTGATGATATAACTATATATTTTCATAAATATAAAAATTGAAATCATGCTGGTTAATAAAAAGAGAACATTTTGGAAAGAAAGCGTGCTAATCATAGTTACATGAATTACGTAGAGTGCAGAAATGTACATTTATAAAATATTGGGCCAAGTTTAATATAGAATCAGATAAAAAATGGAATTTCAAAAGGACATTTTGCTCTTGACATCACTATTTTATATACTCTCTTGGTAATATTTATTGTTTTAAAAAATATTTTTAAAATGTTAATAAAACACTTTCTTTAGAAATAAGCTTCCCTCATAACTTAGAAAGAAAACACATTACACATTGATCATATATATATGTGCCCAGTCCCCATGATCACTGTCATAATTGCATTGGTATCCACTAACTCTCTCCCTTTATACAATTTAGGTAATGTTACACAATTGGAATCCCCAGAACAAGGCTTTCTTGATCCCATCTCAAAGGCCAGAAAAAGATGCATGTTCTGTTGGTATTTACCCACTTTCCTATAGTTGCAGGATTTGACACTAGGTTGGTTTAACATTGGGTGCTCATACACAAACATATATGCCAAGGAAAAATTTATTATTTGTTCAATCTGACTCTACCTTATGGTGCACATTTTAAGCAATCTTTTAACATCAGAATCCCTAGTAAATGCTCAAAATCAATTTTCTGCTGGTTGGTTGCTATGCAAAACAAATTAAAAATAAAGCTATTTCTACTGTCAGAATTTCTGGGATGAGGAATTGCCATTATTTTCACTACTTACATGTGGACCATTGTCCTCACTCTTTGTTGTTGTTAACATAATGTTTTATCTGTTGTTCCTGCTGGCCTACATCAGGTGTATGTCAGTCCAGGTAACCTACATGGAATTTTGAACTGTTCCTTTTGTTTAATATATGGGATAGATTGTTCTTGTTCCACTTCCCATGTCTAATGATATCTAGTTCTTATTTTAGTACGGCACATTTATTGCTCACCCCATTTACACTGAGTCCAAATACAGTGCCCGGCCCGAATTCATGAACTATTGCTTTAATCTACTAGGCTATTGTCCAAATTCTGTATGGATAATTTGGAGCTTTAAATCTACTTAAACTTGGTGCCTACTGATGATTCCTGCTACTTGTCACGTTTGATTGCACTCATTGAATGAAACTTCTCTTTTTGTTACAGCTGTTGCCGATGTTGCAGACCTTCTGTCATTTATCTTTCTTTCTTAGTGGATCATATATCATATTTATTTCTATGCTAGGCTTACAAAGGAGGTGCTCATAGCCTAGCATATACACTGATTCTTTCAGACATCTAACTCTCCAGTGTTCTTCTTTGTCTTGTATTTTCACTTAATTCCATAGAGGCTGATGACTACCTCCATACATGATCAACCATGCTGGATTGTCTCCCTCCTCACAACAGCTTTTTGATGTTTCTCCAGTCTTACTTTTAGGAGGAAGCTTGTTTCTCTTTTATATTGTTTACTACAACTTCAAGAAATGGAGTATACAAAGTTCTTGGTCATGCTTTCCCCTGTGTTAAGCTTTACTTCGCAGATATTTCTCTGTAGAGCATAGTTGCATCTAAATATTGTTCTGATGTTCTATGAACCACAGATCTGAATCTTTTCTGATAGGCCTTTTGTGTACTTCTTGACCTGTCTATTTCCACCTGCAGATACTTATGTTTGCAGGATAGTTGTTATTCTGAAGGGTATGCTGATTATTTCATGTTGGTCTGTGTCACCACATGATTTTTGACCAGTATTGTCAGCATCAGATGTTCACGATCACTGGTGACAATGGTAAACCCATAGCCTAGCCTTTCTCCCATTGGTATATGTCTGACTCTAGTTGGAAGAATGTTATCTGTAAATAGAATATCAACATTTCCATCAGATTATCTATTGGAATGTTAATACATTCTCCAAGAGGGAGGGGTCTGATTCCAATCCTTTTCAAACAACTGAGTGTTCTTAGTTTCTAACATAGGATGAAAACTTCCCTGTTTGTGGGTTGACTATGTCCACTAGGAATCTTCTCAGTGGGTGGTGTGCCAAACCCCTGCAGCTGACTATAGGTCTGAATGGACTACCAACTTTGTGAACCTTGGGGAAACATCTTGGCAGCTTGGTGAAGCATTTAATCAGCTGACTATACTTATTCAGTGTGAAGTAGTCTTTGTTCTTATTTAAGATCTGTGACAGCTTCCTCTCACTTTTTAAGTTTGGATCCTTTTTTCACTTTGCTACTGCCTGACTGCACTCACTGAAAATTCTCTTTTTATTAGAGCTGCTGCTGCTGTTGAAAACCTGCTGCTATTTGTCTTTCTTTATTAGTGGCTTATATATCATATTTATTTCTATGCTAGACCTACAAATAAGGTCCTCATAGCCTAGCATATGTGCTGATTTTTTTCAGATGTCTAACTATCCATTGTTCTTCCATGTATTTTCACTCTATCCCACAACATATGTAGTGGAACAAGAACAATCTACCTCTGTAGATTAAATAAAAATTGAAATTCTCTATAAGTTACCTGGATCAAAATGCACCTGATAAAGATGAGTGCACAGCTGTCAAAATATTGTGATAACAGCAACAAAGATGAGGACAATAGTCTGCACATAAATAGTGTAAATAATGATAACTCGTCATCCCAGAAATTCAGACAGAAGGTGATCAGGTAATAATAACAACAAAGATGAGGACAATAGTCTGCATGTATATAGTGTAAATAATAATACTGTTTTGTGATTCTTCAGTTTCTTTAAATAAAAATTTATTCAGTTTTTTTATTTTATATACTTATGAAAAATTGAGTAATATAATTTAGCTATAAAGAAGGGTTCATTAATGTTTTTTATACTAATATTCACCCACTATAGTGCTACTCAAAGTAGAAGGTTACTGTGTGGGTTGTATGTGTAAGAAAAGGTAAGAAGTTCAGTTCAGGAGATTATGTATATATTTTTAGTTTGATCTGGTTCTTGTAAAGATAGAGTATATCAGAGGGAGTCAGATATGTACTGGAGCAATATAAAGAACCAACCATTTTTCCAGCATCTTTAGATTGTATGTATGAGTTCCACTTGAGGTCTGGAAGAAAAGCTTGAGTCCCAATAGACATTCAAGGCAAGGAGCCTCCTTGAAAGAATACCCATC